AAAACTATTCGTAGTGACAACGGTACTGAGTTTATGTGTATGACTGATTACTTTCGTCAGCATGGTATTGTGCATGAAACTTCTTGTGTAGGCACTCCCCAGCAAAATGGGCGTGTGGAACGCAAGCATAGGCATATTCTTAATGTTGCTCGTGCTTTGCGTTTCCAGGCTCATTTACCTATTGATTTTTGGGGCGAATGTATTCTTGCTGCTGCCTACTTAATTAATCGGACCCCTTCCAGTGTTTTGCATGGTAAAACTCCTAGTGAGATTGTGTATGGCAAACCGCCTTCGCTTTCACACTTGCGTGTTTTTGGTTGCTTATGTTATGCACACAACCAGGATTGCCAAGGTGATAAGTTTGCTAACCGTAGTCGCTGGTGTTTATTTGTTGGTTATCCATTCAGCAAGAAAGGTTGGAGGGTGTATGATTTGGAATCTAGACAATTTTTTGTATCTCAAGATGTTGTATTTTCTGAGTCTGAATTTCCCTATATGACCCTACTGCATACACCTCTATTTCCTTCATCTCCTGTACCTGCCGATGATGATAATCTTACGATTTCTGCTTTATCTCCTTCTCTTGTTTCACCTGTGAATGCTTTGGTTGGTGATTCCCGTGGTCCCAGTGGTGCAGCCTCCACTGCCTGGGGGGTTCACCTTCCAATGAGCCACAAGAAGAATTATTGGGTCGTGGATATCGTACTAAATTTCGTTCTACTCACCTGAAGGATTTTGCGGCCTCTACTATATGCCTCGATAGCCCCTCTCTCACCTCGCCTGCTTCGTCGATTTCCTCAGGTTCTTCCTATCCTTTACACAATTATGTGATTTGTAATTCTTTTTCCCCACAGCATCGTGTTTTCTTGGCTAGCGTTGCTGCAGGTGTGGAGCCTCGTACATTTGCTGAAGCTGTAAAAGATGTTCGCTGGCGTACTGCGATGCGTCAGGAAATCCAGGCTCTTGAACATAATGGCACTTGGACGTTAGAACCTTTGCCTCTTGGAAAACGGACCATTGGCTGCAAGTGGGTATTCAAGATTAAGTACCAATCTGATGGGACCGTCGAGCGATATAAGGCTCGCTTAGTGATCTTGGGTAACAATCAGATTGAGGGTCTTGACCACAATGAGACCTTTGCACCTGTTGCAAAAATGGTTTCTGTTCGAATGTTTCTTGTTGTTACTGCTGCTAAAGACTGGGAACTCCATCAGATGGATGTTCATAATGCCTTTCTACATGGTGATGTCACTGAAGAGGTTTATATGAAGCTTCCTCTAGGTTTTTCCTCTTCCCGGCCTGATATTGTTTGCCATCTTCGTCGTTCCTTGTATGGTTTACGACAAACACCTCGTTGTTGGTTTGCCAAGTTAGCTGGTGCTCTGCGTCGGTATGGCTTTCAGCAATCTGCTTCTGATTATTCCCTCTTCACCCTAACTCGTTCTTCTTTGCAGCTTAATGTTTTGGTGTATGTGGATGATCTCATTATTTTTGGTAATGATAGTATTGCTATTCAGTCTTTTAAGACATATTTGAGTCAGTGTTTTCATATGAAGGATCTTGGGGTTCTCAAATTTTTAATTTGGGCATTGAGGTGGCTCACAATTCCTCTGGAATTTTTCTCTGTCAGCGAAAATATACTTTGGATATTCTTTCTGAAGCAGGTCTATTAGGGGCTAAACCTGTTGGTTTTTCTCTAGAACAGAATCATCAATTATCCTTGGCTACAGACACTGTGCTTCTTGATCCTGAGCGGTATCGCCCGTTTAGTCGGTCTCCTGATTTATCTTGCAGTCACACGTCCTGAATTGTCTTATTCTGTTCATACTTTATCTCAGTTTATGCAGCAAACACGACAGTCGCATTGGGATGCTGCCCTTCGTGTTGTTCGGTATTTGAAGGGTTTTCCTGGTCAAGGTATATTTCTTCAGGCTGATTGTGACTTGCAACTTTCTAGGTGGTGTGATTTCGACTGGGCCAGTTGTCCTCTGACTCGCCGTTCTTTAACTGGTTGGTCTATTCAGTTGGGTGCTTCTCCTGTTTCTTGGAAGACTAAGAAGCAACAGACAGTTGCTCGGTCTTCTGCTGAAGCGGAGTATCTTTCCATGGCTTCCACTATCTGTGAACTCAAATGGTTGAAGGCTTTACTTCTGTGTCTTGGCGTTCATCATCCTCACCCTATTCGGCTGTATTGTGATAGTCAGGCCGCTCTACATATTGTGGCTAACCAGGTTTTCTATGAACGAACTAAGCATATTGAAGTTGACTGTCACTTTATTCGTCATGAAACTACTCAAGGCACCATTCTTACAAGTTATGTTTCCACTCATGTACAACTTGCGGATATCTTCACCAAGGCTCTTGGAAAGCAACATTTTGATTATTTTTTGCGCTAGTTGGGCATTCGAAATCCGCATGCTCCAATTTGAGGGGGGTAATACGGATGTATAATGTAATTAGTTAGTTACTGTGGTTAGAAAACTAGTTACGAGATTATTTTATCTCTTGTACATGTATATATAGTGGAAACCATAATCTAATAGACAGACGGCTAATGATTTATTGCCGTTCTTCAAACCTTTTCAGACGTCATCCGCTTTGATAATGGCTTTTCTAATTTGCAGTAGAAATTCCCAATTTTTTTAATTTTTTTGTATATTGAAAAAATATTATACAACACGAATAGAGGAAGCCCCCGGAGACCGAAAAAATAAGATGGTTTCTAAATAAATAATATATATATATATATATATATATATATTCAAACAGATAAGAAAGAGGCTTGTGATATTGAGCGGTATTTTGAGAGTAACCTGAAGGATACACCCTCAGTACCAAAATTATTGTTTAATTTGGATTTTTAATTTTATATTATTAATTTTGTACTAAAAATAAAAATTTAAATTAAATAATCATTTCGAGGAAAATAGAGTATATGCATGAATCGTTGCGCCCTGTTATGTTTGAGCAAATGTATATACTAGTGAATCTTCAAGGGGGTGTATATGATGTGTTTGCTTAAGCTGCAGGTTCATAACAACAAAGAAATCTGCGTTCATTAATTTGATTTGAGCTGGAAAAGCAATGTTATAATTATTAGTTATAAAAAAGAGAGCCATAGAAAGGTAACATTTAATTTGACTGCCATTTGCTAGTTGGCGCGTGATATTGCTGCAATATTTTACTAATGGTCAAATATTTACAGATAAATTTATGTAAATGCATCCGATGTAAATACTACAACTTAGAAAAATTGATACCTTGAATAGTTCATGTATTCTTTGATGTTTAATTGAAAACTAGCCTTTTGGGATTGGTGCCTGGTGAAGAACCTCAAGGTGTCTGTTGTTTGCTGGGAAATTACGGAGTATAGGGATTATCCTTGGAACATCACAAGATACACTTGCGGATCCAGAACGAATTTACGTTTGAGGTCATAAATCATTATATATATATTAAAGGAAAGAAAGATAATTGACACGTGTCGCTCATTGAGACCATCAAGTCTCAATTAACACGGGTCATTTGCTAATTAGTTGATCATTAATCAGTTAAAATTTTTCTAAACAGTTAATAAATTATTTACTACTCCCTCCGTCCCACAAAAATAATCCAATTTAATAAAAAATATTGTCCTAAAAAAATAGTCCAGTTTAACAAAAGTCAAAATTTATTGAATTGAAATGACTTAAATATCCAAAAGAGTAGTGGTATGAAAAACAAGGTACACTTCCTTTTATTTTTATTTTTTTAGTTTTCTCTTATTTTTTCAAATGATTATATCTTTTAATATATGAATAATTAAAAAATTTGTTATATATCAAATTAATCTACGTAGCGAGATCTTTCCATCAAGATCTATTGCCAATATTTTTTGAGATAAAAATTTTGATCAAATTTAAGTTGTAAATTAAATGCATATGTAGTTAACTTTTATAGAAATAACTAGAAGGCATTAGTGGAAGTTAGGGGAATGAAATGAGTTGTACATTTGGTGTATTGACCAAATTAAAAAAGTTGTACGGTTTCAAACTGGACTATTTTTGTGGGACGGAGGGAGTATATAACATTTTTACAGATATTACAAATTCCTGATTGTGAGATTGAAAATGAATATTTTTAAAAATTGCTGAGAAACTCTCGACTTCAAAAGTCCTTTCATTTTCGAGTTTAAACTTTCAACCTATTGTTATTTTGGCTCTTAAAGTTCCATTTGTGTGCTATTTAGTTTTCAAGTTTATCGATTTTACATTTTTAAGGACGATTAATTGTGTCTCATATTTTATTAGAACTACATCTAATCCCCAAAGTTTGCTTGCCTATAACAATAGACCATATGCATCTAGACATAATTTACGTATTTTTTAAATATATTTTTTAACCAAACGTAACATTAGTTAGTGGTGACAATTTTTATTGTACAACTTTTGAAAATCTTTATTGTAATATTTTTTACCAGATCTTACAAATATGCCTCTCATAAATAATATCAATACCTCTCATTTTGATCTAAAACTAATTATCAAAAAAATATTACAGTTTTAAGAAATATTAGTGACTACATTTTTTTTAAGAGAATAAGGACGGTATATTTGTAACTACATTATCTAATCAATTCTTTTGAAATATAAATTTTCAATATTGACAAAGCCGCGCAAAGCGCGGGACACACACTAGTATATTTAATAAAATAAAAATATACTATTTTATTTTGATTGATCGCTATGAATTTTTCTGTTTTGATGAAATTTTGGGACCCTTTTCATTAATATTATTCGTGCCTATATACCATTAGTTTGCAACATATAAATTAAACCAGATATTTGTTCATTCAATAATTAAGCATTTGACTACGGGGCACTATTAAAACGAGAATTTGCTTACAAAGCATAATTATAATTCAAAAAAATAACATGTAACTTTATTTGATTTTTTTATTAATAAAATCACTTATATAAATTCTTTCGAATATAGAATATTTCACCCTGACATACGATCAGGGAGAAAATTAATTAAACGAAAAAATTTGGGAAAATAACATACAAATCATTATAGTGCAAAATTTTAGTGCCTAAAGGAGTTGATGGAGGTGACAGATTCCGTACTTATTGGGAAATGACCTTCATCTGGTGAAGGACCAGATGAAGAGGGAGATAGCTTAGTTTTTGGGACATCACTCGATGTAATGATCAATTTATGGCTCTTCATGCCCGGCGAATAACCCGACGGAGGAATAGGCTTCTTATCCGCAGACAACCCAACAGATTCATATGCGCTCATTTTGCTCCTTTCCAATTCCAGTGTTACCCTTTTCAATGGTGACAAAATTGCATGCTTATCAAACAATTTTTCATTTCGATTACTTCCGAAACAAATGCCAAAGTGCATCAAACCAAGAAGCAAGACAACTGCGATATAGGAGTAAACATTTCTTGGTGATGATAAACTGACGAAAGAAGTCATGTTCAGACCTTTTCTTTTTTCTTTTTTTTTTCTTTTTGGTGGTGGCAGATAGAAATGCCTGGTGTGTTGATGAAGGTGCCTATATATATAAAATAATCTAGTGGCGCCTTGAAATTTTAGTAAGGTGCTCAATTCACATCATCAGCAATTTATGATATTGCCTCATTCATTATCTCCCATATTAAAATGTCTTAAACACTTACTACAGTCTACAATCCAGGCACAAAGGATCGTATTCATCATATACATTCGTTCTAAGATCTATCTCCTATCAAAGCAAAACTTTTTGGACGTAGCTAGACTCTACCTTTCAGTTTTCTCCGAAACGTAATAAGGTTCAGATGCAGGCTTAAAGCTTTTATGTTTCAACTCTGGCCTTGTGGGCTTGTATATATGTATTTTACTGAGGCTGAAACATGACACATTAGGCCTATTTTAATCTGCGGTGTATTTTCGCAGTGGAAGAGTTTCATGTTCATTTTTTCTCTATATATGTTTTAAAAATAAAAGGGAGAAGTGAAAAGTCAAAATCACCGTATCATTTTGATTAATGTTCCTAGGTGTTATTATTCTTTTGGATTGCTAAACAAATTCAAGTTATCAAATTATAACACTTTAACTGAAAGTTGCATATTGACTGCTAGTTGAAATATATGTCAAATGTAAGTAAATTACTTGCAACGTATGTTGAAAACTATTTTTTTAGTTGATATTATACCTCTCTATTTTGTTATTTGAAAACTCTTAAACTTTGTGATTTAATAGTGTAATAAGTAAGATCACAATATACAACTAAAGTAATTAAGTGCATATTGCAAATGTCTCTTTTTTATAATTTAATTTTTAGAATTTAAATATTAGGCAATTTAATTCAAGAAATTAAATAATTTATGCTATGAACAATGCAGTGTAACAATTATTTTATGAATAAATTACAATCGTTAAATCATACAAATCTCACGAGTACAATTTGGATTAAAAAAATAAATTTTTTGTGGAATTTTACATTTCCAAAATGTGATAGAGTAGGTAATTACCATATCACATGCATGATAGTACGATAGTCTCATGACACTGTAGATCGACATTTTTTTTGGTCATTATTACTGTTAACCTCATTATAAAGATTGTATTTCAAAAAATAGATTATCTTAATGAGGTTTGAACCTCCCGTCTCGTGGTGGTATTAATTAATTAACATGAAATTGTGCTTGACCATAACTAAAATTTGTAAATATTTTATTAAGGATGCAATTGGAAAATATTTATATTTTTATGAAATGATGAAATGAGGTTAAGATGCTATTGTAGGATATGAAGGGTGTCATTGTAGAATTCGATAATCTTTTATAGGTCCAATTGTAATTGAACAAACTAATGTACAAATCGAAATCTCTTAATTAGGATTTAAAAATTGTCATCATAAGTACGTTTAAAATTCGAGCAGTTTGTTCACTTTATTGTCAGACAAAAAAGGAATACAGTAAAACGTCGGTAAATTAATAATCGATAAATTAATAATTTCTAACAATTAATAATTTAACTTGGGACCAGTACAAAAAGTGACAAAAATCGATAAATGATAAAGTAATAATGTTTCAGAAAATCCCCTATATATCTATAGGTCCCAACAATACGGTAAATTAATAAATACCTTAAATGCCAAAAAATTACTAATATCTAGGAAGATTTAGTAAAATATAGGCTTATTAATACTTGTTTTTTTCTTGAAATTCAAATCCAATGAAATTTCATCCTTAATTTGTCTCATTGCCTTTGAGAGATCTGGTGTTGTATTCTCGAATTGCAATAAGAAATTTTGAAAAGTTATTGCTGATTTGAATGCTTCTTTTCGTGTGACGGGTACCAAAGGCACGGAATTATCATCACCTTTATCCTCAATTGAATTATTTTCAAGGACACTAGTCACAATATCCTCAAATGATTTGACTTCTGTATATTTATCATTTTCACCTGAATAATCCACCAACTAATTACATTCATCTTATTAGATTTGAGTTTATTATTAAAAAGAATTACGTTCCTTACTTGTTTAGGATTGTAAAGAAACGATAGAAAATTACGTATTATAATAGAGTTTATAAAGAAAAAAATCTTTAAATTAATAATTTATTAATTTATCGATTATTTAATAATCGATAAATTAATAAAATTTGAACACTATTAATTTATAGAAGTTCTACTGTAGTACGACGAAACTGGAGTTAAACTTCAGAACCATTATCATTAGGAAAAGAAAAAAGATTCAAAAACCAAAAAGACACAAAATGCAAACAAAGCTCTGTTTATATTGTTCAATACTCACTCTACCTTTTCTTTAAGAAACGATGCGGACCCAATTTCACCTCTTTTATTTGCTTAATATCATAAATGTCCATGATTTCATATTTCAACACTGATTTCTTATTCTTTTTTTCCGCTTTTCAGCTCTGCTTTTGTGTTTATAAATATATCATTCAAATTTCGTGTATACAACAAAACAGTAACACCATCGAACAAAAATTATTTTGCAAAAACGATATTCAGAACAAATCACCAAAAACCAATATTACATGACAAAACTACATAAAATTTAAAGAGCTCAATTGACAATTTCTGAGCTTCCTGGAGCATCACTATTCACTAGAAACCAAACTAAATCTCGCAAAATTAAACAAAAAATTCACATTACGTTCCTTCAGTCGATAGTCAATAGTCAATACATGGACAACGAGAAGTAAAACAAATAGTTGAATTGAATTTTTTTTTTTTTTTTGGCAAAGTTGATGAAGAATATTGGGGTGACTTTTTGAAACTTTGATTCTCAAACTTATAGGGGCTATGTGGTTTTTTCAGTATAATTTTAATTGTCTATGTTTGTTGAGAGCGCTGAAGATGAAACAAAAAGAATTGAGAAGCAGCGCCAATTAGCTAAAAACGTTGGTGGTAATTCCATTTCTGTTGTTTTTCTGAAGGTGTCCGCAAATGTTTTTTAACTCCTTTAATTAAAAAAAAAATGTTCGTTAAAATGAACACATCTTTTAATGTCTTAATATCTTATTAGTATGTGTCGTCATAGTCATATACACTAAAATTATGCTTAATAATGTCTTAATACTAGGATTTGAGCTAGCAAACAATTTATAATTAGTAAAAATTAAAAACAGAAAATATAGAAAGGTAATATTTAATTTGACTGGTGTTTGCTAGTCGGCGTCCAATATTGCTGCGAGTATGTAGTAATGGTCAAACAATTAACTAATGAAAATGCATCCGATGTAATCATTTAAATACTGCAACTTAGAAAAGTTGATACAGTTCATGTATTTCTCTAATGTTTGATTGAAAACTACCATGGGGATTGGTGCCTGGTAAAGAAGCTCAAGGAGTCCGTTGTTTGTTGAGAAGTTACCGGGTACAAGGATTGTCCTCAGTATATCACTGGATAGAGTAAGGGATCCAGAATGAATTCAAATTAAGGTCATAAATATATAATTGCAAAAAAAAAAAAAATTTAAAAAATTTATTAAGGTTGATCACAATGAATTTTTTCTATTTTGATGGAAATTTTGGATCCATTTTCATTGATATTACAGGCACTTATTATTCTATTATTTTCAACATGTAAATTATATCTGAAATAGGAATGAGGTTTTGGTCTAATAGTAATGCTCGTCGTAGGTATGTGAAGGGGGTTAATCACATTTAAGTGTGTTCCACTTAAACAAATTTTTTTATAAAACAACAAAAAATTAAATGAGAAATTTGCTCATCTTGTACACCCGGCTGCGCGACATTATTAAAACGTGAATTTGCAATAAGTATTTTTATTATTGAAAAACTTCTAACCTTATTTGATTTTTTGAATACTGAATCACTTCTACAAATTCTTTTGAATATGCATGGACCATTTTAATCAACGTAAAATACAGTACAATGTTGTTAAATTCATAATCTATAAAAAGAATAATTTCTAGTAATTAAAATTTTCTCTAGTTCTAACTTGGTACAAGTACAAAAAGTGGAAAAAAACTGATAAAATAATTAGATAATAATGTTCAATAAAATCTCATACATATATATATATAAGTCCCAACAATACTATCAATTAATAAATACACTAAGCAAACAAATCTATAGTACTTAATTAAAGCAACAAACAAAAAGGACATGTGTCAGCACCACAATGAAAATTTTCCCGCCAAAAGTTATTTTCAGTACAAAATCATTTTTGACACGTGGCGCTCTAACTAATCAGAAAAAAAAGATAAAATAGATAAATATATAAATCCCTTAATTATAGTTACATAAAAATATCTTAATTATAGATATATACTAATCTCTTAAAACAACAATATTTAGTTGATAAAATCAAATATAAGGAAATCCCCTTAAATCAATTGAAACACCAGTAATGTCTTCCCAATCCCCAATTTCAAAGAATCTCTTCCATTCCGCCCCTCTCTCACACCCGGGCCTTTAAATCAATTACTTAAAATCTGACATCAATTATCAATCCATCTCTTTCTACAACAGAGAAAAAATAAGCTGTTATGAAAGAAATTTGATTTTTTAATGATATTTTTTTTTCTATTGTAGATATTGGTTTATGATTTATGTAAACCCGGGCATAAGTTAACTGTTATAAATTAAATATTATAAATATGGGCATAGATTTATGTTTAATAACTTACTTTATATCCTTTCAATCGATTTTTTATTCTTATAATTTTTTTTATTCTTTTAAGAATGATTCGTATTTTTTATTTAATCAATTTAAAAATACAGACGACACCCCGGTCATTCGCCCGAGACAAGCATCTAGTAGTAATAATAACAATAAACATTGATACTTATTTTTTTAGTCCCGGAGATGATATGAACTATGTATGAATTTTTTGTATCTAAAGGGGTTTTAATACTGGATTGATTCAGATTTAAAGACAATTGAAAGTAATTTAATGACGGTTCTTATTTCTCAAGATAGAAATTCTTTAAATTAATATTTTATTAATTTATCGATAATTAATAAATTTTGGTATTCCCACCTCTATTAATTTATAAATGTTCTATTAAACGATAAGAGAAAAAAAAAATGAAGCGAAAAAATTGGGGGAAAATAAGATAAAATATCATTAGGGTACAAAACTTTAGTGCCTAGTGAAGGAGTTGATGGAAGTGACAGATTTCTTACTTGTTGGGAAATGACCCTCACCTGGTGAAGGACTTGATTTAGAGATAACTACCTTAGGTTTTGGGACATCACTCGAAATAATGATCAATTTCGGGGTATCAATGCCTGGTGAAGAACCCGACGGAGGAATAAGCTTTTTAACCGCAGTCAACCC